AGAGTTACAAAAGCTCATCATTTGGAGCGAGGCCAATTTCTGGTGCAGACCGGAGCAGCACGGAAACCTCACAGGCATCATGAAGACTATGATCGACCACGTTCTTCTCTCTCTAGGAAGCGTACGTCGGACCCAAGGCAAGACGTTGGATGTTGCCCAGGTGAGCAGAGCTTTGGCTGAAACCGGTACTACGCTGATCTTGGCGAACACTGCAGGTCAACGGCGGGTCGCAGTCGTTCAATGCTGTCAATGCACTGCGGATTCTAGGCCGTTGGATGAGGATGCTTACCATTCCCAATCAAGCATCTTTACCCAAAGCATGGACCCAATTCGATGAATTGGGACGTATGTTACCATCGTCGAATCAAGACCGAGTCGTCGATGTGTGTGAGGAGCTCGTCAAGGTCTCTTGTCTCTTCTATGGTAAAGAAGAGCGTTCTGCTGATCGATGGAGCGAGCGGAGGGAAAAGGTCGGAATGGAACCCTACTCAGTCAGGCGGAGAAGGAGAAGATTGCGAACATGGGCAATGCGTAATGCCATCCGAGTTTCGAGGCTGTGTGTATCGTACATTGTATGCATGATAGAGTCTGATCAGCCACAACATTTCATGTACGCTCTCTTTCCCCCTCCCGCTGAACCGTTTGTGATTAGCGCGACCTAGCACGAATACGTGGACCGTTTAAGATAAGGACAAATGGGATGAGAGAAAAGAGAAAGCCAATAAAGCCGGCGAGGGAGGACGCCCAGGGATACGTCAGCCTCCTGTACATTGCCTCCACAAAACAAAGGGCAGATGCTGCCGAGTAGATTGTGCAGAAGAGACTGCGCTGCAAGGGCCGAGGATGCGTAGATGAGATACGAGTCGGAGAGGTAGTTGAGTACGCCGAGGTAGATGTGGTAGATACCAGTAGTGGTCATGACGATGCCGACGAACGGACCTGCAATGCTTGCCGAGGAGAAAGAGGTCCATCCATAGACGAAGCACCCAATTGGGACAAGAAGTGCCCCGACACGGGCGCGATACAACCTCGCCTCTGGGCCTTTGGTTGGAAATTACCGCAGGTATAGTTTCTCTTGCAGAGGATTAGTCATCTGTCCGACCAGCGCCCCTAGGCAGATGAACAAGAAGAAAAGGCCGGTCTGATCCGGTGTGAATCCATGAAGCGCAGTAACGAGCTGTATGCTGGAGAGGAGCGAATAGAGCAGTCCCCAGCAGAAACCGACCCACGTCGAAAAGGCGATAACGATTGGCTCAGTTGCTAGGAAGATGAAAGGACGCACCAGTGACACCTTGAGCATGACACGAAGGAATCCTTTCTCCCGCTCGCCTCGAGCTCGGTAGCAGTCATTACCAGTCTTTTTGGGAATGGGGTTTGCTCGTCTTGTGAGCAGGACAGAGACTCTTGTTTCGGGCAGCAGTGCCAGAAGGACGAGGAGCACGCCAGAGTAGATGGCCTGTGTCCAATGAATCCACCGCCGCCCCAGCGAAGGGTTTTGTTCAATCCACCCGGCGAAGACATGACTGATTCCTGTTCCAAAGAGAGCCGATGTCGCGAAGAGGGCCATGGGTTTCCCTCGCTCAGCGGCAGTCCAAATGTCTGTGTAAAACAATGTGCGCGTTCATTGCGCGTCCTTCATAGATGGTGGACAGGTTCTCTGGCTCACCGGTGATAGATCCTCCGGTGAGCGTACTGCCGGACGCGCCAGCCATTCCTAGCAGCAGGCGAAGCGCTATCACTGTCGCAATATTCTTGGCCTTCGCAATTCCCACGCAACACACCACAATGACTAGTTGGGTGACGCAGTAGACTGGATTTCTCCCCCACGATTCGCCTCAAGGGTGCCGTGTAAAGCGGAGATAGCCCGCATCCAAAGACGAATATCGCGAGCCCGAGTAGCGACAAAAAATGATTGGAAAATCCGAGGTCACGCTCCATCGACGGGATGCCGAGCGTGTACGACAATGCGGTCGCAGAAACAGATAATGTGAGCAGCGCGCAAACACATGTGATTCCCCATCTGCAGCGAGGGGAGCAGTTGAGCGGGTGTGCCGGATCTGAGCTCATTTGAGACCAAGCCTGGCACGATGTAAGCACTGAAGCCTCACCATCCCGTTTGAATTCAACGAATACTGTCTTGTCATTGTTCTCTTCTTCCGCTCTCGGGTCGATCCGTCATGAGTGGGCGAGAAACGTTGTTCGATTTACCTGTCTCCCTTGAACAGCGTTGAACTCTTTTGAACCGGGCCGATTGAACAAGATACGTCTGAAGTCTGAACAGGAGACCCGTAGGCCGGTGGGCTGCTTGTTCGGAACTCAGGATGGAGCGCCGCGTACCTGGTTGTCCCGGCACCCCGGAGAAGCGAGGGCTGAATTTGTAATTCGGTTAGGGTTAGGGTTGCGACAAAGTTGACGGCTAGCAAGGGCAACGCGATTGCTAGAGAAGGGATTGGCAGGGAGGGATGGTCGAGATGTCCGTGGAAGTTGCAAATCAGGGAAAGGTTGTCTCCAGCAGGTCCTGTAGCTCAAACGAACCAGGAGTGGAGGCAGTGAGCGAGGGACAGTTTTTTGCCTACGGCCTATCTTCGCACAACGCATACAAACAAACACAAAGGTAGAGGCCATATCAAGGGCAGTATGAGTGTTAGTGCTTTGCGATCGAATCAGTGTCAGATTCCTTCCCGCAGCTGTTTGTCTGAGAAAAACAACCGGGGGGAGGGGTACTCGATCATGACGAACTGGTTCTAATATCCGAGTTGGTGGTGTTTCTGCTTGTCTCCGATCTTTCCCCGCGTGTGCCCACACTATCTAAGAGCACCGCCTGTCCACACTTAACCTTGCACGCACTGTTCTATGTGCATAGCTGGTCCCCCCCGATCATTCCATTTACATTCCCTTCCATGATGTTTCCCCTAGCCCCAGTCTGGCAGTCCGTGACAATAACCCGTCGCGCCACGAGGATTTTCTGCATGCCGGCCGCCATGTCCATTTATCTTAACTCGCTGCCCGCCTCAGCTGGAAGTGCTGTGACCCCCGTCGACTTCTCGTCGCCCAGAACAACCTATGGATTCTACCACTCATGATGAAACAATGGCCGACGTGTGTCACATATACGAATCGAGCTGCAAGCGAGCATAGCATCGTCTGGTCCAGCAACAAGGGCAACTTTTTCGGCGGGAAGGATGGCAGACCGGCTCGGCTCGCAGTCTTTCATCCAATGCCACTGATCGCACAAGCGGAAACATTGATCTGGACGAATGGTGGCATTCCCCATGCGTGCTTCAAGTACAGCCAAATGTGATGGGAATATTGCAGCTCCAAATCGTTGTGAGTCTTTCCTGCAAGGCGCTAGCCCTCCACGGCTTCTTTCTACGCCTTGATTGAACAAGGGTCAGATCAGCGCAGCTCCATCCACGGCAACAGATCAAGCGGAGAACTTTGACGGAATAGCGCCAGAAGGCCATCTTAGGACTTTTTAGGAGGTCGACCCAACCCTAGCAAGAGCATTGGCTTTCAACGTAGGGTCCCTCTTGATAGCATGCACAGCTGCGCTCTCCTCTCAATCCTTGTAATTGTGCACTGGTGCGGCAGTACATGGGCCAGCCAAAGGGGCGCCTGATCAAAGCCAGCACGCAAAGAATCAAGGTTCCCGCACACTACACCTCTATGATCCCACGCAGCGAGATGACCTTGTGTCTAAAATCACAGCGGCAAAATTCTGCCCCAGACTGCAAGGTGGAGAACTTCCGCTGTCGGTGATGTGATCAAGTGTCGCGCCGATGGTTGAAACACTTTTCTATTCTAGTGGCGCTTCCATCACGTAGCTAGTCCACGCGCCGACCTGCTTGCCGAAGCGGATTTTCTCCACTTCTCCTCGCCTTGCCTTTAAGTATTTGATTTCAGATAGCCATACGGTGGAACAAAAGAGACGCGATGATACAAATGGTGGACATGGACGACCACGAGGACGATGGGGTCGAGGGTCAGCCTTTCTGTGCGCAAAGGAGTCACCGTAGGCCATTGGTAGCCGAGAATTGGGTGTGACTGCTGACAATGATCTCAGCCATGTTTACTCACAATTCAGCCGATTGTCATTTGCAACGAGCAGAGTACAAGGCCATCTCCGTTCTTAGCACGGTTGACTGGGTACAGGGGCTCTTGATTGTTATTCCGTTGCAGATGTTGTTCGACTAACTTGCATCCGTACGTCGGTCGCCGCTTCACTGTTCCTGGACTGACACTCCTTATGCGTCTTTGCTGTAGCTGTGCAGTTGGCGCCGATGTTGCCAGCCTCGTAAATTGGCCAAGTCCGGCGAGCAACGTGTCCGCAGCCTTAGCCATTCTCAGTATACGCTACTCATTTCCTGCTCACCGTTTTGCAGTCACTCTTGAGTGACTGTGAGAATTGTTACGAAGGAATATTGCAACTTCAAGGAGTCATCGATGGCTAGGCTACCTTAGGGGGGGGGGTCCCAGGCATGTATGGAGCTCAATGTTTACTTGAACTCAGATTCACGCCCTCAACGAATGGACTTTCTCAACAGGTTATAACCGCTGACTGTGACAACCGCGTATGCGCCGTCTCTATTGATGGTGCTGTGCTGTGCTCCTACCCATTAGCCAAGCCAAGTCTATGCCGGACGGGAGGCTTCTGAAAATTCATGTACTCCTGCGAGGAAAGCGACCAAGCCGCGAGGGATGTCTTCAAATCCCCGCTCACCCTCACACTAAGGCAGCGCGTTCCCACTGAAGTGGAGATTATCCCGCTCAACCATCTATGTTTCATGTTTCCCATAGGTACAGATCTGTGCATGAGTCTCTGCTAGTGGAAGGTCACACCTGCTCTAACGTGTGAGGAGTATTTGAGATTAAATGGAGGCTTTGTCTCAAAGAGAGGCGTCACGCATATGCCGGACGAGAACGACGCTTGACCGAAAGCCATGCACCGGCGAGCAGTACAGCACTGAATATCTCTGCCGCGGCTCCAAAGTAGGCGCCTGCTGGCCATCGGCGAAATGAGGCAGGCTTGCCAGATCCGACGAGAGCTTCAGCGATAGGCGTGCCAACTAGCGAAGCGATCCCAACTGGCATGCATGCCAAACCCAGGCGAAGCCCAGTGGATGCGACCTGGGGATCAAGCGATGAGACAGTCGGGAAGTAGAGAGACACGACTGTCCGAACAGTGGAAAGCGATCATCAGCACCCCTTTCTCAGGGCAAATTCTGACACATTTGCACCCACTCGATCCTGAAAAAAAACCATAGCTACAAGGCGCAGAGCCAGTAGCTGATCAGCCTTCTGTGCTCTCTCTCTCCTAGCAATATCTCACTCACAGAATTGCAAAGACGACGATGGAACTGGCTGTTGTGCAAGCTGGAAAGGCGAACAGGAGTGCCGCTGCGGCTGCCGTACAAGGCACGTAGAGCTACCGTCCGGGATAAAAAGTAAATTCAAAAGCTCAGCAGCTTGATGAGCGTGCTAACGGTCTGTGCCCGCTCGCTCACCTCATACATTCCCCAGTGGTCGGCTAGATAATTGGGTATGAGTCGCCCTAGAACACTTGACACGTTCAAGAGGGACAGCAACCATGATGCTAGGTCTGGATGGATGCCTCTGTCGAGCGCAAAGGCTTCGATTGCAAACCTGTGGAGCAGAGTAATGTGAGCGAACTGTGACCTTGCCGAGCCGTCACCACCCTAGGCTCACTCACATGGGGTAGTAAAGCCCAAGGCACACGACAAACCCGCTTGAAATGGTTGCGACATACGCCGGATCGAGCAATAGGGATCTGATTGTAGGGGGAGGAGTAGCGTCATGGGAGCTGTTGCCTAAACTGGACAACTTTCCTACATCTTCCTGACATTCTATTTTGCCTTGCACTTGGTGAGGAGCTTCCTTTTCACCGTTCCGTACCGGCTCCTTGATCAGAAAGAACGCTGGAGCAAGGCAACCTAGCACGATGAAGGCACACACTCGAACTGTCCAGCCAAATCCTAGTGGCTGGAATAACTTGCTAGCTAGAACCGAGAAAGCAAATCCGCCAAGAGACGAGCCAGTAGTAATTACGCCCATAGCCAAGCCTCGCCGTTTGTTGAAGTGTTGAGATACCACCCCAGATACAGGCAAGTAAGCCAAGCCCAAGCCGGCGCCCATGCCGATGCTTGGTGGAAGTATCAGCCATGCGTGTAATGCGAAAGCTTGACGCTGAAGCTCACCCCTGACTTAAGAGGATGGGAGCAAACATTCCTGCCTGGCACAGGCTCAGCATGAAGAAGGCGAAAATGAAAAGCAAGGTGCCACAGGCGATGGTCACTCGGAATCGGCCCGCGTCGAGGAGGAAACCACCAAAGACCCCCAAGCTAGGCATGTGTTTAGAAGGCAGGTAGTTCCGCGGAAAAGCAGCAAATGGACAACACGGTGAGCTTAGTGTCGGCAGTATAGGTGCTGCCGAATCGTCGCTTTCGCGTCACTCACAAAAACTCCAAGAATAGCTGCAGACTGCCTATCCATGCGATGCTCGAGGAAGAGTATGTCTGCGGAAGAATGCATATTGAGCGTACGACGGTGGACGGAGACTCCTCTGCCGTACGCACACTCAGCCAGATATTCTGATAAAACGTCTGATAGCTGCCAAACGAAGTGACAGCTCCCACCATGGCAAATTGCAACAACCACGCACCGGTGACGGTGAGCCATCCAAGGAGCCCTCCATCTACATTGGCCCAAAAGTACGTCGCTTGTGCGGAAGGGGGGCTTGAGATGCCCTCGTTCCTGTATTGAGGGGGCGACACGGCTACGATCTCCTCAATCTCTTGGTTCTGCATTTTGAGGCGTATTGGTGTGCGCGCGAGTTTAAATTGCTGTTTTGGCGAGGTGAAAAGGGGGGAGTCGAAGGGAGGTGATCAGGATGGTGGGTTAGAGGGTGGTCGAAGGGATCAGTTGTTCGAGCTCTGAGCTCAGTTAAATTCGGCCCTCAAGATAACATTCTGCACCCGAGGAGGAAGAGGGAGAAAGGGCGTAGGGGAAGAAGGCAGGTCTCGAACCGCCACGCAGGCGCTGCTGAAGGAGCTGCTTGCATTCAAGCCTTATCTAAACCGCCCCACTAGCGTGGCAGTAACAGTTGTTTGTTCATATTTCCCCGCTAGTGCTGCTGCGTTTTTTACTGAGAAACACACCGGCCATATCTCCTGTTTTCCTAGTTTTTCCAGTGTGATAGGAATTGCGGATGAGGCGCAATGCACATGACGCGTGTTCATCTCGCTATTTATCGTGGCGCAATTTCGTACCACGATTCGCGGCGCAGGTGAATCAATGGTTGCCCTGCTTTTGTGCTTCCGCCCTTTGTGTGTGGTCGGTCCTATTTCGTTGAGCTCATTAGGTACAATATCTTGTTAGCCATAAAGTGCACTGCCACTGCAAGCCTTCTATGAAGCCCCATGGTCAAAGGAATTGGGTTGCGGCGGCAGTACGTGTGTTGGCACACGCTCTACGTGGTTCTGCGGACCTTGGGCATTGCAGCCGATAAATCACTGAACTCATGGGCTTAGCAGTTTGATCGTGACCGCATGGACACCGAGAAACGATGCATGCTGATCCGTATTGCATCACTTGACACCCGTCTGATGCTAACCGCTGTCTACAGCAGCTGAAGAAAGAGCAGCTCGCTTTGCTTATAAAATTCGACCGGTTCTTCCTGATCAGATTCTCTCCTCATCTTCAACTGCTGTCGATGCTCTCCTCCAGCCGCAAGTATCTGCGAAGAACGATGGCATCCGTCCCGGCAGCTCCGATGGTAGTCTCATTCAGCCCCACCGCTGATGCGGGTGCTTACAAATTTGCCGATCCGTCGAATCTTTCTCTTTCAGTCAACCGCGAAAAATTTTCGGCAAAGGCTGCTCTTGATATCCTGATGCAACGATCAGGCGAGCACAGCGAGGAACTGAAAGTTGGAGAGAGCGGCAACATAGACTCCAGACAGCCCGCTAGAGGTGCGGAAGAATTGGCTGAGCATCGGTCTCTCCTCGGCTTTCCTCGGCGTCAAAGCCATGAAGTCGAGACTAGCCCCTACTGCCTTCCTGCCGATGCGGCCGAGCGCCAACGTCTGGATCAGCAACATTTCTTCATTCGCAACCACGTTTGGCATGGTAAACTTATACTCGATGAGAGAGTCTCCCCACAGAAGGGTCAGAAGCTCCTTGACGTCGGAACAGGGTCCGGTGAGTGGGTGCTCGATCTGCCCTTCTTGCCTCTACACTTACACACGATCTCCAAAACCTTGCAAAAGGAGCATGGGCTCTAGACATCGCGAAGAATTCAGATGACGGCGTGGAGGTGCTAGGAATCGATATTTCGTCAAACCTGTTCCCTGAAAACACCACCAAGACGACGTTTCTGAAGGTAAGTGTGAGTCAGTTGGCACATTCCCGCCCACGATTCGTCGGTTGACCTCACCTAAATCACCGTCAGGGTACGGTTCTTGATCTGCCTCGTGACCTTGACGGGGAGGTATCGCTGGTGAATCAGCGCCTGCTGATATATGCGTTAAGAGTTCAAGATTGGAAAGAAGCTTTGGCATCGATTCATCGTGTCCTTGTTCCCGGTGCCGGCTTTGTGCAGCTCACTGAGGTGATGACGCCAGTCAGTAATTCTGGATCGGCACAGAAGAGGTTTTTCAAGCTCCTATCTGCGTGAGTATTATTTGCCCTCCTTACTGAAACTCCATCAAGCATAGATTGGCCTGACCCATCTGAAATGCACCAGAATTGGAGTCCAACGAAATTTGCTTTTGGACTGCGGTGAAAAATTACCGACCCTTCTGATGCATACGGGTTTCACCGATATTCTGTCGAGCCGTATTAGCGTGAGGCTTGGCGCAGCAGGAGGTGATGCGGGGAAGCTTGCCGCACATTGTCGGATCGGCGCATTCCGAGGGATGAAAGATAGCGTGCTCCACGATGGTAAGTCCTTGCAGCATGAAGAGGATGGTCAACGGTCAACGCTAACAGTTCGTCCTTGCGCAGGGGGTTACGGCATCATCAACTCTCCAGCCGAATTCGATGCCCTGCTCGATGACGTGGCCAAAGAATGGGAGCAGAATGAATGTTTTGCCTGCTATGTGAGCTGAAGTCGCACACCTTCCCAAGCCTTCCAAACGCTGATTCGGTAGCTTCTTTCTAGTACACATTCACCGCTCGGCGTGAAGAGATTACTGCAAGGGACCTTCGTCAATTCATCGTGCCGCCGAGTCACCTCTCCATACCGGAAGTCTTTCAGTTCCACGCGAGTGCCAATAAAGCACATGAATTTTTCCGCTATCATCAAGATCGACTCAGATCTATTACTTATGAAGCGCTTGATCGAGCTATTGACAGAGCAGTCGACTTACTTCGGCAACGAGTTGCCAGCCGCAACATCACTGTTGCTGTTCTCGCCGTCTCCGGTAAGAAATTCATGTTCGTAGACGCTTAGAGACGCTCACCTCTCCATCTACTCAGACTCGATCAGCTACGTCACGACGATGCTTGGATTCCTACGCGCAGGCATCACGGTGAGTGTTTGTCCGCTTCCGCGCACGACGACTCTTGACTGACCTTGGAGGCTTTACTAAAGCCGTTATTCCTGTCTCCCCGTAATTCAGCAATAGCTGTAGATCGCCTCCTACAACAAGCAGAGACAAAATACCTCATGGTAAGCTCTGACGATGCCATGCAGAGCTTGGCGCGGGCTGCAATTGAAAAGTCCGGCTCGGTGCGCCTGTTGCCGATGTTCACATTCGAGGAGCTTTACACGTCCAACCCATCAACACAGAATAAGGATGTTGCGGATGTGACCTACGAACTTGATTCGACGGCTCTTTTGCTTCACTCGTCTGGATCGACTGACTTCCCAAAATTGATCAAATTGACGCACCGCAATCTTCTCGAGTGGGGTCGTGGGGCTCAAGGCGAGATGGATCTGGACGGCGAAGTTCTTGGTGGTCAAGCATTGGCATATTTTCACGCAATGGGAGTGTGAGTTCTGAAGAAGTCAACAGAATAAGACGGAGCTTGTCATGCTGAGCGCGCGTTGCGTTTTTCGTCTATAGCATCGCTCCTCTGTGGTGTGCGACCGTCGGCATGACCCTGGCGGTCTTTGCTCCGAAAAATCCGCCCGTACGCCCGACCCCAGAAAATCTCTTCAATGATCTCCGCGCTTCCGAATCAACTCTGGTTTTCTGCGTTCCGAGCCACCTTGAAGCATGGGCAAATAACCCAGAGACCTGGCAGCACCTTGCTAAAAGCTTGAAAGCGGTCGTCTTCTGCGGTGCCCCCTTGGCTCAACAGGCTGGGCTCACGCTGACTTCCAAAGGGGTGAACATTCAGCCGTACTTTGCTTCGACTGAAACCGGAGGAATGTCCTTATTCCTTCCCGAATCGAAGTTGTCGCCTCATCAAGACAGCTGGAACATGTTCCAGCTGGCTCCTCACTGCAATGTGCGCATCTCGGATGCTCGATTGGCCGACGGAACGGATGAAGGCGTGGCTCTCGTGCAGGCCTTTTTCCTCCAGGGACCCACCCACACCCCTTCAGCCTTCAACGCAACTCTCGAAGGAAAGCCAGCATACACCACCGGGGACCTACTTTGTCGCTCGAAAATCAACGGCAAAGAGTACTTCAGCGTCTATGGCCGCGAGGACGATCAGATCAACATGTCGACGGGCGAGAAAACCAATCCACTTCCCATCGAGAAGACACTTGCCGAATGCGAGTACGTCGAACATATCGTCCTATTCGGGCATGGTAAGCCTCAAATTGGAGCCCTCGTCCAAGCGACACCCAAATTCTATACCGATACACGCCAAAAGCTGGGCACCCTTCCTCAAGATGAACTTTTGGCTCATCTTCGACGTGCGATCGCTCCATATCTGCGAATTGCTAACGAGCAAGCACCCGCGCACAGCAAGATTTTCCCAGAGATGATCATGCTTTGTGATCGCGACACTCCCTTTTCTCTTACAGGAAAGCAAACCGTGCGCCGACGACACGTCTTAACTGAAAATAGCAGACTGATCGAGGCTGCGTATCTGGAGGTGGAGAAGTCGGCCCTTCTGGACATTCCGGGACCGAAGGCGGAGCAATGGACGATTGCTGTCACAACCCAATTCGTCGAACAAGTGATTTCACGTCATATCGGGTCGATCCGTCCTGCTGCAGACATTTTTGAGCAAGGAGCTGATAGCTTACATGCCACCTCTATCCGAAATGCGCTCCTCCGTGCGCTTCGAGACGTCGGCGCGCGCACGAGCAATGTACCCTCGGATGTGGTAAGTGTTCGCGCAATCGGGACCCTTCGCGCTCGGCTAACGGACAGGGCTCAGCAGGTTTTCCAAATTCCCACTGTTGATGGTCTAAGTGCTTTCCTTTTCGGTGCTGGGCTACACCGAAGAACTGGAAGCACCGAAAATGATGGAGATCCAGAGGAAATGACCCCTTGGCCAGCCCTCGGCAAAGCGGGTGAGACTATGGTGAGACTTCGCCAGGGAGAGAATCCCCTCATCCTCATCCATGGTGCAGGTGGTACGATACACGCCTTTCCACCTCTTCGAGAGAAATTCAGGAGCGGCCTGGTTGCAATACAAGTAACTCCCGACACGCCAATGGAATCCCTTGGTGCCCTCATAGACTTTTACTATGGAAAAATCCGAGACTTTCAACCTCAGGGACCGTACAGACTGGCCGCATTCTCTGCGACCAGTATCCTTGCCGTTGCCCTTGCCAAGAAATTCGAGGCAGGGGGCGATCGCGTGGCGCAGGTCGCGCTTATCGACCACGTCCCTACATTCTACTTATGCCCCGTCTACGGCCTGGAGAATATGGTGTTGGAGAGCTCTCTTGATCGGAAGGCCTTCCACGAAGTCTGCTGTGAAGGAATATGTGATCTGCTTCGTCGTGATGGTGGAGGAAAAATTGCCAGACGCCATCAGCTAGCCAAAGAATTAGTAAGGGTCGCAGTCGCGACGCATATGATGGTCCGTCACTAACTCGGGCAACAACGCCTTCTGCAGAAAGATGCCTTCGAAGGTCGGCCCGCTCCTGAGTTCTCGACGACGTACTGGCGCACTGTCGAACGGTTTTTAGACCTCATGGTCAGTGCCCATCTGCGAACGTCGAAATATATCCCAGACCTGCTGATTGCCTCGAAAATGTCACACCCTTGGGCAGGTCGATTTCATGCTCTGCGGACACATGGACAGTGCTGAGTACGAACTCGAAAATCGACCGCTGGAGGCATTCATGCGTTGGCAAAGCAGCCTGGCCGCTCCGGTTTCTGTCTACATTGCAAGTGAGGGGATGAAGCGCACTATCCCTAAACATATGCAAGAAGAATGGAAAGACCTGGGTGCGATGCTCTGTTGGCCGAACGCCAAGTTTCACCACATCGAAGGGGGCCACTTCGACATTCTTTCTCACATGGATTTGATTGAAAAGCTCCAGTCAGATTGGATCTGATTGAATGTAAATGGCCAACCATGTAGCTATGATTGACTTGAACAAGGAACTGTCTTCGGCTCGATAGGACGTGTACCCGGTTAGGGTTAGGGTTAGGGTTAGGGTTAGGGTTAGGGTTAGGGTTAGGGTTAGGGTTAGGGTTAGGGTTAGGGTTAGGGTTAGGGTTAGGGTTA